TACTTCATATACTGTATCTACGCCATTATAATCTTATTTTTATTGTAATTGCTAATTGTTTATTCATCTATCTGTATAGTTATATTTTACAGAATATTGTAAAAGTGAATACATTTTCAACTGGTGTGGTCCAACCCTGCTGATGAAGACAGGATAAACGAGTCAAATATATTAATGTTCATTCTATGTCTTTGAGCTGCTTATATAAATGTACGTACACAATAAGACAACATTGATTTATACTCCATACATACACTATTGTTAACTTTAATTTAGTTCGGGAACACCCTGAGGTAAGTATGGTTATGTAAAGATGTGTACTAAGGTTTCTTAATGTCTCTTACAGTATTGTATGCAACTTTTCACTCAATATCGATTTAGTTTGTACAAAGTATCGTTCCGTGCCCGTATATACCTTCTGTAAGTCGGCTGTATTATGAGTAGCGAACTGCGGCTGCCACTCTGGCGTAAAGCAACAAGAATGATCTCAGATTAAACTATAGTATATCAGTACGCCAGGTGCCATCTTATTGTTGAATGGTCTTCATTAGTTACAGTCCAACAGTAGAGATGGTATGTAAGGTTCAAGAAATGGAAGTCGCTGGGAACTGTTGGCAGTGTTCGAGTGTTGTGCTTCACAGTTCACGCAGTTAAGACACGGGAAGAGATACGTGCCTAATTTTTTTCGACATCTGTAAAATCGTATATTCTTCGTAAATGACTATACGAGGATATCAGAGCATTACCGTCGTAATGCCACATTATTGAAGATAAAGTGTTTATATATGCCAGGATAAAACACTAAACTGGTATAACTGCACTCAGAATCGTTTACTATATATTTTCTAATCATAGCACGTTTGGTTCATAACATTTTCCTATGCCTCTTCAAATAGTGCTCTTATGCCTTTTTCTCTCACTGCCCTATAAAGTTTACCGGCTCGTCATAAAATCCCTAACCAGGTATTTGTTCCCGTTCCTCTTCTCTGGGTTTAGCTCTTCACAACCTTCCCATACCGCAATAACTTCTCGTAATACTTATACCTGCTATGTCGAGGCTTACCATAAACTCTGTAGCGGTGACAACCCATGGCCGGGACTACCTGAACCAGCCTAGTGTGAGAAAAGTGCTTGCAGCTGCCGCAATAAGTTGAAAATCATGAGCCTTTGCGACAGTCATTATAAAGTGACCTTATGGCGGTGTTATGTTGCCCATGAGTGATAAAATTTTGAGATTCACATAGAGACTTTATTCACATTAATCTGTACAAGAATATATTTACGTATAAAACTGATTTTTTTTCTTCTAATACAGTAGCTTCGATATTGTGTACAGTATAGGCGAAGGAGAGTTAAGTAACGCTAAATGAACACACGACGAATCTCTCGCACCAGAATCTCATAAATTCATACGTATTCAATTTTTTCCTTGCATCTAGAGATAGGAAAATGCATCCATAGTTAAGGTAAAGTCTCAGTGCAATTTACAAGTCATTTTAGCCACACTGTCTTTGTTGTTTACCTAAAGTGAGTCGGTTAAATCTGTCTTCATTCTTTAATTCGTGGGAAAAGTGTGTTACTGTACGAATCTTTCTATATCTGGGCCTCTTTGTCTTCATTAAGAGGTCATCAAGAGGGCGTTGACTAGATCTGACAGCAGTAACCATTCCAGGTCACCCTCATACAGCCATCGTCTCCAGTCACCTTATACAGTTACCGTCTTCCCAGTCTCCCCACTGTTACCCCCATACAGTTACCGTCTCTTCAGTCACCCCACATATATCCCACCTCTCCTGGGAATCTATATGTCTAACAGCCTTCATGACCTGCCTGTCTACCCAACATGACAGGATTATTCATCAGTCAGGATCTTCCACCAGTCAGAACAACACAAATGATCCTTCTTTTTCAGCTGTATCTCACCAATTTCTTTCTCTCGCCTCTCATTTTTTTTATCCACTTGTCTACGTTCATCCTCTCATTTATTTTTATACATAGACTTCCTTACATTTAACTTCTTACCTTAGTCTGTAGTGTATGGCAAAAGTAATTATGATTCTCAACACCACAATCATCTGTTCATATCGTTTGTTTATTTTTGTCCCCCACCGAGTAGTGTCTTCTGGCACAATATATTTTAGTTCTCCGGATAATGATGATAAGATTGGTTTATTTACTCGTATAGTACCTTTAAAGCCGTCTTATTTTATCGATTTTATCCCTTCACTGATTTCTGGAGCATCTATGAACACACATCCTCTCTCTCTCTTACTAACACCAGATACAAATATCAAGGTTAACTACGTTGCCGTATTTAATCGTTACCGCAGCTCTTTATTATCAGGTTCAACTCAGCCAAGTGAACAGGGTCTTTCTTTATGACGCGTAACACTGTGTAATGCGTCTTGAATCTCACCACTGCTGTGAAGGTCGTTTGTGTAAGATAAAAGGTACAATAAGTTTTCATAAAATAAACAGTTAAAATACCGAAGTTTATTTTCTGCTACTGGATTTATTTTTATTACGTGTTTGGTGTAAGGAGACATGTAATAATGTATACATATAAATAGTCTGGGTAGAAAATTATCTTAGAAAATAGCTGTAAGGTTGAAAATATGTGGTGTGTACAGGGGTATTCCCAAGTGTCTCATTTAGCGCCATGACCAAGCACTCAGTAGTCGGTTACAGCACTGTGAAGTTAATTACACCTTCATGATCACACCTCCAGAAACTTACTCTCGTTCAAACATATATTGAGAAATAACACAACAGGTCTTTTGTTTATAAATAGAGATGTAAACTGGGGTTGATTCACTCCATTAAATGTTATTAGTCATCACATTTATACACTTTATGAATACATCAAGATAAGTTTAACCTGAACACCAGCCACACTGCCAGAGCTCACCCCAATCACTCTATCTAACCCAGTACATTTAAAAAATTACATTAATACTAGTAGCGGTCTTACTTAATATTTCCACGCGAGTTTTTCCCATTTCGATTATAATTAATTATTATCCTGCAAGTGGACGAAGATTTGGACAAACAGACCTATTTTGTTTTTATTGTTTAAGCACTTTAGGTACGGGATCCCCTCTGAGCTGAATAAAATCGTCTGACGTTACCCAAATAAAATATTAAAAGTGGCGTCCCCGTAGTGAAGCCAAACCCGGTATAAGATCACACGGTAGAGGGCAGCTTTAAGTTTAATAAAAAAAAAAAAAAAAGTTAGGAGCCACGATGTTATGGGAAGCGTAGTACCACAGCTATAAAGTATAAACAGGTAGTGACATACGTAATGGATAATTCCTGTGACTAGGGTGATACTGATCTATAATATAATACTGTACACATATATCTAACTTAAGGGAGTAGTCAGACTATGAGTGGCTTGTTTTAACCTACAAAAGGAGTACAGGTACCACACGAGGGGGGAAATCTATTAAATAGTTCAGTGTATTCTAATCTAAAATTGAAAACGCATTGAAATCTACACCCAATAATTCTTAAGTTTATAAATTCTTGTCATAAACATATAGTGTAGCTTTTCGTGAAACAGGCTATCAGTTTATAACCATGATTTCAATCCCACACCGAGACTATGAGCGTAATCAATAACTAGGTGGCAACAGTGCAATACACTGCACTCGAGTTTACACCCAACAGCAGCCGTCCCGCGTGTTGCCGCGCCAGAGCATTGGGTCGTCGGTCCAATTGCACTGTGGTGATGCCTTCCCATAACTCTTCCTGTATATTACCACAAAAATATATGAATATAAATTCTTATTTTCTCATTCCAGTTACCAATAAACCAAAGCTTGAAATTAATCGCACAATGTTAGATAAGATACGTTTGAATGTGACGCCATCTGGATTGTG